CCCCAAAACCCCCAAAACCCCAAAACCCCAAAACCCCATGGAGTTAGATTTATGAATCAAAATATTAAGTGATTAGTATAAATTGAAATTAAGTTTCACAGTGAGAATAGTAGAATCACTGACTTAAATTGACATTAACCGTGAAATAAGTAGTTTTCAATAGGACATATTTCTTAAGAATTCAGAGAATCCAAACTTTTTCATAGATTTTCTTCCCATGCTATCAGCCACCAGATATTGAACTTCCAGACTACCTGCACTATTAACCTGTATCTGGACAAGTCTTCGCTTTTAATCAGATGCATTGATGAATTTAAAGACATCCCCTTGGATTTTTTCATAGATATTACCTTATATGCCTGATTTCTTTATTTCTCTTGATAGGAGTATATCAATCTACTCATAATTTTCATCTTCACTAATTATGTTTCTAAGGGATTACCTGAGTCTCTCATCTTTTTCTCTGATTTATCTGCGAGCCTCAATTATGTCTTTGTCTATTAGAGAATCAGGATTATTATGCTACTGATTCTTCCTAGGATCTACTTTACTGAAATCTTTGTTGACTTTTACTAACCTGTCCTCTGTCTATTGATACTCTCGTCTGCTTTTGTCAAGTTTTTGTTCTTAGTGTCTAATTTGTCTGTCTATATCATCCATTTCGCCTCGGGTTTCTTTAAGTTTATCCTTTATTTCATCCCTATCCTCCTTGGCCTCTTTGATCAGCAGCACTAACAGCTCAAGTGATTCTCCTAATTTACCATGTACTTCGTACTTCTTCTGATTTATTTTATGTTTTGCGTCTTTTGAGTCTCTAGTCTAGATCAGTTTAAGCAGTGACTTTTACTTGATTTCCAACTCTCTGATCATTTGTTGAAGTTTATACTCTTGCTCTCTTTTTTAGGCTGGATCTAGGGCTGACTTTACTATGCTTAACTTTGAGCTCCAAATCTGCATTGAGTTCTCAGCCATTTCATGAGCTTGCATTCTAGTTGAATTTGCTTGGGCCTTCATATCATACTACATGCCCATCATTCCTGAGTAATCTTGAACTTGACTAAGAATTCTTCTTCTTTCTACCAAAAGCTCAAGTAATTAGTTGAAGCTATCATCTCTTCTTTTATCAAGAATTTCTTTTTCCTTCACAGTCATGTATAATGATAGCTACAGTCTCTCGATTTCAGCATCTTTTGACTTATAAAGTTCAAATAGCTGAGCCAGATATCCAAGTTGTCTCTTTCTAGTGCTAATCAAATCTTTCTTGATATATTCAATGTGCTGTTTCAATTCAAAGATGCGATCTATTTATTCATCTATATTTTCCATCGTTCTCATGTTGATTAACTCTTAGTCTCTTAAATTTTACTAAGCACTTGCCAATTCTTTCAATAAAACTTCTCTCTGCTTTTGAATATTTTTTGACTTTGAAAACATCTCATTAATTGTTTTCATATGCTTTTAGAATAGATCGTCACATCCTTCGAACATCTCTTTGGCAATGGCTTTTCTCTCTTCTTTAGTCAGATAAGATACAAACTGTTTTTAAGGCCTGTCGTATGACTAATTTTAGGTGGATCCTTGCTCTTAATTGAATGATTACTCCTCATCATCCATAATTGACTCTTCCTCTTAGTAATGCTTTTTAGTTATTGGGTGAGCTCTATTATCGTTGTCTGTGTAGTCTGCCTTTATTTCTTCTATTTCTTAGACTAATAGCAAGCATTCTCTTCTGAGCTCAACTATTCTAGGGTCAACCTAATCCCACAAGTCCTCCTTTTATTACAAAAGACTTGCTTCTATTGTATTTTCACTTTCTAAGTCTATCAAAAGATCATTCATTATTCTCTTCATATCTGCCAGTTACTTTTTAAGATTGCCTACATCTCTCTATTCAAGTTCCTTAAGATGATTTCTATAATTTGACAACGAAAGTAGGTAAACATCTGTGGACTCTGTACTCAGTGCTCTCTTATGATCCTCAATTAATTTGTCCACAAAACTGATTAAGACAGTTTCTTTGTCGTCACACTGTCTGAATTAGATCTCTAAGTCTTCGAGAGCCTTAGTTAATGACTCAGTTAATTTGCTTTTGAATCTTCTGACATCAAATTTCTCGCAAAGCTAAATCAATTTAGTTATCTCCTCATCCTTTTCCATTTCCAATTTCTTCAATTTTTAGCTGTCTACCTAGTTAAGATTGCTTATCATAATGTTGTTCACAATTTTTCCATGAAATAAATTTCTTCCCTTAAGTTTATCTTATCTTGATTCAACATATTCTACTGTTAGAGTGAAGTCATTTGTTTTAGAGCTATTCTTATCTTCTTTCAATTGCTATTGAGACTATTAGTTCTTTTTACCTCTCTTATTCTTTCCTTAAATCTAATACTCAGCTGTCTCCTCATCCTCTATATCTTCAATTGCTCCACCACCTGCTTCTTCATCATGCTACTAAATCTCTTAGTGTTTACTTCTTTGCTATTGTTTGAATTTATGATCAATATCACTTTTTATTTTGTCCATATTATTCATAACACTTGTATATTAGCCTCCAATTATGGTATATTCAATCAATATTCTCGGTTATTCATAGTCATCTTCTCCAAGTTAGCCATCATACATGTCATCCTCAAGATCATCGAATAAAGTAACCCAATGCATGTAAGTATTTCCAATCCCTTGGCAAAGTTTTTTAAGCGAAAATCTAATTGATCCAAATCTATTTTTATCCTCAGCACCAATCTTTTTCAAAATTATCTGCAGTTTTTTCCTTGAGTCAAACAGTGATATTCTGACTTTCTTAGCCCTAATTTGAGATTAAGCTTGGGGATTTAGATGTGATTGTTAATTCTCTTGCTTATTCTGCTTTAGAGCTTAAGTTGCCACTGAACCTAGTACTAAACTATCTAAGCATTCATTATCTAAAAAGACATAGGCCATCACATCACGCTTATTAACTCTAGACATTTCTGGGAGTTACATATCATGGATTGATAATAACACGAAATCTATTTAACTTAAGGTTAGTTGGTGATAAAGTGAAAATAAGTCAATTAGCAAATAGAATTAATACTTTACCTTCCATTTCAAGATGAATGTTAAAAACTTAAATTAAAAATTTTTATATAATTTAAAATAATATAATGGCAACACAAGCAGAAAACTAGCAAACCCACTAAAAATCAGAATTTCACTAATACCTTGATAACAATCAGCAAATGGTGGATTAAATGATGCGCATAATAGTAAATCTTTACATGGACCCAAAGAAAGTCTCAGAAACTCCAGAGTAATCAGATCTTAGATTTTATTGATGTGATATTTTAGGCATGTGAGAAAAATGCTAGGTGTGCAAGAGGCTTAAAATAATGATGACTTAATAAATGAAAATAGAGAACTTAAACATGATATATTTAGGTTATAAGATGAACTTGTAGCACTTGAACTTGAGGTAAGGGTTTCTTAATAAGAGTTTCTTAATATGTTAATAATGCTTTGGATGTAGTTGGAACAAATAAAAGAAGAGACTTTATGAATATAATTTTATCCCAAAAATCAAAATATGTTACAATTTTCAGCATAGGGGTTTTGGGGTTTTGGGGTTTTGGGG